CCCCCTGCGCGCCCCCTGCGCGCCCCCTGCGCGCTCCCGGGCGGGGCACCCATGGCGGGGAGTTCCTCCTGCGAGCAGAGTGCCCATGGACCGGCACCGAGCTGCGGGCCGTGCGGCTTGCACTGCGGCTGGAAGGAGATCCAGGCTGCGCATCCGTCTCCAGAGCCGCGAGACAAGGTGGGGAGGCTAAAAAGTGGGAATGGGAGTAGCTTTTTCAAAATTACCACTAAAGCCTGCGCCTTCCCGTCCTCAGCCTGCTGTGCAAGATTCCCTCTGTGCCTGGACTTCTTCCAGGAAAGGAATCCTGAGTGGAATCCCGTGTCCTGCACCACCACCTGACAAACATTTTGGACAAAATCTTGGACTAGGCAACCTGCAGAACCAGCCCTGCCAGCTTAAAGAATGCCAGTACTGCTATCTGTAATATTCTGTGTAAATTCACATTGTTAGTCTGTAAAAACTAGCGGTATCAAAAAGTTGCTTTAACAGTTCAAAGCAGGCACTGCACAGATAGGAGATATTCCCTATATGTATGTATTGGGGTTTTTGTTGGAGGTTTTCTTTAGCACTTTACCTAAGAGCGGAGATGACCAAAGCCACTGTTTTCCTGATGCTTTTCTTGGATTCAGAAACACCAGGAGACAACTGACTCAAAGGAAAAGGAGTGACCCACCCCAGATCTCTTCTCACACCCTACCTTAGGCTGGCCTAGGGAAAGGCTGCAAAGCAGAAGTAACAGTAACACTGAACTGGAGGCACAGGACAAAATAAGAAAGTGGTTTTTGAACGCCTGAATATCTGAGTCTGCCCTGAGCTATGCACCCCACCCTTTTTGCCCATCCCTCAGTCTCTGTTTTTCAAAAGCTTTGAGCCATGTAATTTCTGATCTTTTAAACTGAGCTTCAAAAGTGTAAAACACTGGCTGCCATTGCAACATGCACCTTTCTTCTTCCTTGATTGAGCCCCTCCTACACGAATTCTGCCTTCAGCTGCAAGCTCTCTGTCGCAGGGACCACCTATGACTATTATATTCATAAAGAACCTTCCTGGAGTGGATCCCATTATTTGACAACACACTTCTAGACCCACTGTGCACAACACTACAATAATCCATGTTTATGCTAGGTGTAACTTCCTTGAGCAACAAATGAAGAACAGTTCAACTTGCTGTCGTGTAGATCTGCTTGAAAAGACAGTAGTGTATATATGAAGTACCATTAATAAAGTGTTAAAGTTTCATGCCCAGTGTTATCCAGGGATTCCAGAAATATTTTTATAACACATTAAAGGAGCAGATGAAATTGAAGTCCTATAAACATTTGCCTTATCTTTCAAATTTAATAGTTTAACCATGGAAAATGGCAATTGAGACATTTCTAGGGTTAAGTCACCTGGAGTCGTAAAGAATTTCTAAAAGACAACCAAGGAGCTGGATACAGAGCAGCTTTGACAGAATATCCAATTCCAGCACTGGTGATGGCAGGATGAAGCTGTTTATCATGGGAAGTAAGGATGGGTTTCTGAAGTGGCAAAGGTCTGTAAAGCTCTCCTATAACTGTAAGTACAAGAATAAAAACAAACACAAGCAGTGAGGCCAGAAAAGGAAGATTTTGCAAAGTAACCACAGGGAGTGGCAGGTAAGGGCAAAGACCAGTATTGTCATAAATTACCCTCTTGAGATTAAGTGTTGTAAATTGCTTTTTCCCCCCATACAGGACCAAGTCTGTGTGGAACAGATGAACCAATATTTATTAACATACCTTTTATTAAGCTGTTGTAGTCAACTTACTAATAGCAGATCATTATCCAGACACTAAATTCAGTCATTCTGTCAAGATTCACACACATGCCATCACTCACCGCTACCCAGTAGGGAAGAAAAAGCTGACCACAGTGGTTTTCTCAGATACACACTGATGTGCCACTGACTTCAGGGTCAATGCTCAGAAAGAGAAAGGAAATGTTTAAAGATTTTCATTGTTTTTCCTGGGAGAACACGGATACTGAAAAAAGTTGTGGAAATGATGGAAGGGATAAAGCCCAATCTCATGTGGAAGTGTTCTGGTATAGGCAGCCATTATTCTTTATGCTGCACATGTAGAGAGCACTGCTGAAGTGCTATGCAGTCTGGGTGTATTTAAGTAGAAAAACACTTATTTTGAAACCAGAATAATAATTTTTTTCTTTAGGCTGGTTTCCTCTGACTGAATCATATACCTGAGCACAAAGTCTGAACATGGCAGCACCTCACATGAACATGTCTGAGCCAAGCCTGTGTAAACTCATCAGATTGATTACTCTTCCAGGCACTTCCATACTCAGCTTCCTGGCTGGGGTTGCCTCAGCTGCTCTTTGTTCCCTTCATCACCAATTTGCTGTGTGGTTTCGGCACAGCCACAAATTACAGTAGAGCTCAGATACAGACATTTCTTGGCACTCCTGGTTTCCCTTCCTTCCATCTTCCTGGAGAATCTCTCCCTTTCTCACTAATTCCCAGATGTTATCAGATCAGATACTCCCGGATGTGCATTGCAGGAACCAATTTACATCTCCTTCTCCAAGCAGACACCAATACCTTGACATGCAGCTTATGGAGCAGAAGACTAAAGTTTCCTTTAGATAAACATCTGGAGAGAATATTTATGGTGCCACGCTCAATTGCAATAACAGTTTAATCAGTGGAGAGGGTCTGTATCTCAAGGTTATGAAGTATTTGTGCTTTTCAGAGCCTGCTTCACCAAGGGAATTGTAACGTGGAACTCAACTAGCGCACCAGCTCCTTTTTTTGACTGGACAAAAAGCTGGCAGCACTGCACTGATATGTCAAGGGGACACAGTGTGTATAAAATATCTGTCTGTACATAATAATTCTACTACATTAATATATATTTACTAATCAGTACCTAGTTTGTTCACTTTAACTAACACTAATAATTCTCCTGCCATGAGAATTTAACCTGCCCTTAAAGCTTTAGCAAGTCCTTGGTGTACAGCTTGAGCATGTAGGGCTGCAGAGTGCTCTGATGTCCTGAGGCGATTGCAAGCCTCTGCCATTTGCATTAGAATTGGTTCAGGCTCTGGTGGAAGGGCACCTAATACCTTTTTACACTATGAATTTGCGTTAGATACAGCCAATTTCTTTACCAGTTCATCTCTTGCCCTTTCATGTGTAACATGTCTCTCTAGGGCTTGCCTTAAGTGATCAATGAACTGCATGTAGGGCTCATTAGGCCCTTGCTTTATTTCTACAAAGTCGTGTGTAGGTGTAATGCCATTGTGATAAATGGAGATGATTCATGTTAACTAAATTGTAACTATTTGGAAAGTTATTATTATAAAGCAATAAAGGCAATTAGTGTTACAAGGCAGATGGACCCCTTAACAGGTGTTACATGTTAAAAATAGGATACAGGATGTAGTTTTAAGATAAGTAATGTCTCAAAACAGAATTGACTTTTAGATGGACAAAGTTGGAACAGCTTCAAGCATAAGGTTTGAAATTACAGCTTAAACTATGAAATGCAAGGCTAATTATTGGAACATAATGCTTACTTACATAACACAATGCTTCATACAGACACACAATCTATAAGGTTATCCAGAGAACAACAAAGATGAGTGTAAGCCTTCATGCAAAGACCACCAAAAGAAGACTGAAGACCCCTAGCAACAAGTGAAGCATGTGCCATGGAGTACAGTGGCATAAAATTTAAGAATTGAAAGTGGAAGAAAACTTACAAGAAACATTAATAAATATGTACAAGCATATAGGATATAAATTTAATTTGAATTGCTTTGTTTTGTATGTAAGGTAGGGTGAGAAGCTCTCTCTGTACCCAGTTGGTTTCATACATGAGGTAGCAGGAGAAGCTCTCTCTGTTCCCCGGTTGGTTTTGCTTATGTTTGAATCATACTTAATTACTGGCAAATTATATTCATATATATATATCTATATATATCTATATATATATATATCTGAATCTATTCACTAAATTGTATTCTTTTACTAAATTGTATTCTTGTATACCAAATTGCTATTCAATTCACTAAATTGTATCCTTTTTCTGTGTTATTAAATTGCTGTTAACGCAATAGACCTAGCTGTCTAATTACATTTATAACACCATCAGGCATTTGCATAAAAGCACCTTTCTTGCCGCATTTTTAATGTCATTTAAGGCTTGCCTTGGGAGGTTTGTGGCTTGGTCTTCAGGTTGATTGTGTGCTCCCTCACCAGCAAGATGATCTATAGTCAATGCTGCCAAAGCTTGATTACCCCCATAGTCCACCAACAACTGATTTAATAGCCTTTTCCATCCTCCCTCCCATGAGATGTACTGTGTTGGTGACAGCAGCATTGTCATTAAATACTTCAAATCATAAAATACAAGCTGTAAGGGTTGCACAAAATAAATTATTTAAAAATGGTGATTCCCTCCCATAGTCTTTAGCTGCTTTACATAGTTCTTTCATTTCCCCATAAGTCAATGGCTCCCACTGCAGATTTGCTCCCTGCCTTCCATCCTGTACCGGCACCACAGTAAACTTTTCTGCCACTTCTAGATCCCCTTCTTTATCTGCAGCTTTTTGGATCTTTTCCCAATGGTCTTTAGGACCCGAGGGGCACAGTGGAAGTTCCTCAGATTCAGGAGGGTCGAGGTCTCCTTGAAAATAATAACTTGAAACAAAAGCAGCTTTATTTTTAGCAAGGTTATGGCGAAGATGTTTAACCATAGCGGAGAAAGGTGCTAGGCCACAAGATAAGATGGCAGCCTTCGGAGCCAGGGTTCTGGTTCCTGGTTCCATGAGGACATGGCCTGTGGGGGTGGAGCCATGGGAGGGGCTTTGGGGCAAGATGGCAGCTTGGGAGAACACAGGAAAATGGTGGCTGGCAGAGGAGGAAGGAGGAAGAGGAGGAGCAGCAGGAAGGGGAGGGTCCAAGATGGTGTGGCCACTATCAGCTTGGGCTGAAGGGCAAGGAGTAGAGGACTGTGCTGCCTCGGGTTAAATAGGGATAACAGAAGTACTGGAGTTATTAAACTTAACTTCTAATTTTAAGGTTTCCAAAATAATGTGAAAAGCAGGCATCATATGAGGCGCTTCAGGGTCTCTCCTAGTAGCTAGATTATAATGTTTAACACCCACAGATTCCCAATAATCAACAGTAAGGATAATCAAAGCCATAGCATTGGGAAAACTATGGAAGGTCTGCTTCATTATTCTCTTAAGTTCCCACTTCAGCAATGGTTTGCCATGCTTAATTAAAAGTGCCTTAAAATGTCCATATGTGCCCTTCTGTACCACGGACATTCCTTGTCCCATGGTAATTCCCCACAGATTCACCTGCACTCTTGATCCAGATGAGTAGTCAGATCCAGATCCTTTTTCTCCCAGCAGCTCCAAGTGTCTGCTTCTTGCAGCATCCAAAATTCCTGGGGGCCTCGCTGACTAAATCAGCTAACCACTGCTGCCCGATAGCTGATTTCCCAAGCAGCTAGATCTTCTATAAAATTAGAGGTCCCTTGTTGCCACCATTCCAGCTGCGGGGTGACAATTGACCCTTGACATCGCCTGCCTGCCGGGACACCAACTATCTTTGGCAATGAAAGAGGCAGGAATGACTGAGCGTTGATTAGAAGCTCATTTATTAGAGCATCAGACATAATTGCACTTAGGAAGATCAACCTCAGGAGACAGCATAATGCAGAAGACATGACAATATGTACCCTTGGCTATAGCGCTTCTGTGTCCTACCCAACCAATCAACAACTTTATTACCTTCTATGGAAACATAGCTTACCAATCACTAACAATGTCACCTTATATGAAACTATGAGGTAGTCTCTATTAACATAACAATCCCACAATCCTCTAGAAACCCCCTCAACAAGCTACTTAAGTAACTTACTTTAGCTTATCTTATTCAACTGTATATTTACTCAACCTGTAATACTATGTCATGCCTAAACTGGCAAGTTCTTTAGCTCAACAACAGCATTCATCTTGATGGTACCCACACAACTCTCCGTATCAGGTCTAGACATTCTCTCTCTTCAGCACTTTGCATCCCACAATCTCAGGTTGATACCTTCTGTGTAGTCAGCCAAGGCAAATTCACTGTCAGTCCCCGCCAGTCCAACTCCCTCACATGCCCATTCCCACAACCATTTTCATGGAAAACTTCAAATCAGTCTAGATCAGTTAAACTCCATCTATTCTATTCCCTACCTTTTATTTATTCAAGTATTTCAAAGTTGTGAGTTCCAGGTCTCTCAATACTTACAAGTTTCATTGGCAATAGCCATGTAGCCACACACAAAAAATTCCTTTGTCGTGACTACAAGGAAAGGTCTGGTTTATAGTGGAAACAAATTAAAAATGGAAATGGCCTTCACCTGTGGCTTCTTCAGCAGACATCCATAATGTTAACATTCACCAAAGCTAATTCCTGTCCTTGATGCTCCCTTTCTATGGAGGCTGTCTCTGGGTAAACTTCATGTTAATCACTGATTGTTTCTGTAAAGATTAATCATTCTTGACACAAAGGTCAAACACAGAAAGAAAAGATGAGGGACAATCCACTGCTGGCAGGCAATGAAAAGGGTTTTCCTTCAGCAGCTTATCACTGTCTCTCTGGCATTTTCTACACAACATGAACGTGTTGCTTTCTGCATAACAAGCAACAAAAATTTTAGTGGGTGGGTTCAGTTAGCTACTGAAGTTGCCAGACCTCTCTCATCTTCCACTTACGCATTATGCTGTGACCAAGCTCTTTCAAAGATATTTCTTTTGCAAAGATTGAGGGAATTCCTGAATCAGCCTTAAATATTATAATTCTTTCACAATTGGAGTTCTGATGAAGCTAGGGACTGCTTGGGCTTCAGAATAATTAACAGGGAAATGCCTGCTGGGACAGGGGAATGAATAAGCGTCACAGCCTCCATCAGAAGTAAGCAGACAGGACATGTGACATCTGGGCAAAATGAGTAAACACTGTTATATTTCAAAAGCCAGACATGCAATCACTCAGTAAAACCCCTTACACTGACTTTCCACTATTTTAATCTAAGTTCCATGTCTGTGAGTGAACAAATTGAAGGCTGTAGATCAAAAGTGGCACACAGTAGCAAATCTTTAAATGGCTTTTTATTTAGTAACCAGATAAGTCTGCAGGACCAGCCAATTCACCTAGAAGTCAGGGAGCCACACAGCTGTCACTTCAGTGAGGAAAAGGCATCACCACAGCTTGGTGAGAGGAACAGGCTTTGTAAAAGCAGAAGAGAGATAGATGTTAATAGGAAAAGTTGTTGCCACCTTGTCCAAGATTTACAGAGGAAGAAGCAAGATTCTTAGGGAGACAAATTCACTGCAATAACTTTGACTTCTTTAGTAAATGACATTCTAAAAATTGGTTCAAACCAGCTCAAAAACTAGATCTAGCATCATCAAGAGGAACCCAAAATATGGAACAAGGATTTGAAAGCCAGCATCGCATCCTTAGTGTTATGCAAGCAGTCCTCATGGGTTTTGACATGTGTCTTGGAATCCATGAGGGTGTGAAAATGTGAGTGAGGCATGTGACAATGACTGAGGAAAATACGTTCTCTTTACACTAAACTTCCTTTTTCATTAAGAGCCACATTGAATCTTGTTGCATTAATTTTTTTACAGGCAGCAATTTTTTAGGGCAGCAAGTGCAGCACACATCTCATCTTCCCAGGGCCTCGTTTGCTTTAGTCCACCCTCCCAGCCTAGCAGTCCAGCCAGCTCCCCCATCCTGGCCCATGTCAGATAGCAGGGATGAGTTGTAGGCTCTTACTTGGATAGCTAAAGCTAAATCACTGCTAGAAATGCACAAAACTGGACAGCACAGGGTGTTGGCCACAACTATTTCCACTTAAAAAAGATCAAGTATTGCTACAGCACACCACTAATTGCTCTCTGAATTCCCTTGAGAAGTTCACAGCTTTCCTGAAGAACAAAGTGCAAACCCTGTCACCATACTCCCACAGGAGCCCCATTACAGCAGAAATATCTACCCCCATACCCTTACGTACATGATGTGAGGTGACCTGCAGATCATTTCTGGCAGAGCTGTTGCTGAACAGTCACTCCATCATTATCCTCAAGATAACTTTTAAACCTGACTCAGTTTTCCAGTGCTCACCATCCCTCCCAAATTCACAACAGTTTAACAAACATATGCCACAAACGTAGTTTTAGCCCACTGCATGGACTCTGGATGGAACATTTGAATGCCCTTGAACACTGGACAGGCTCCTAGAAAAAATTAGGCAATAAGTCCTGCTCTTTTGTCAACACACTCTGTGTAACTTACCTTAAGTACAAGGGAGCACAGGAGAGGTAGAGATGGCCAGGAACTGGGGCAGTTTAGGTTCACAAACTGGTGCCAAAAACTCTCACATCAATTTTGCAGGCTACAAGTCAAGACAGGCACCTGTACATACATGACACATACACAAATAGGCAAATACACCTTGCCAAATTCTCTTCCACAGGGCCACACTGTTAAGGATTTCTGAGCTTGAAAGTGGTTTCAGGACAGTTGGAGTCGCATTTCATAGTGATTATGTGTAAATACACTGTAGGACCAAGTCACAGGGTAATCAGGCAGAAAAATGCAGCACAGCATTCAAAGAAAGAAACCTGCTTTTTGCAAATGTTAGATTAGCAGGGCATAGTGACAAGTTAAATTGATAGATCAAATAGTAGAACATAAGCACCTGTCCGAGAGTAAACTGAGGAGAAATATGGGGGCAACACTCTTTATGCCAATAATTCTCCCACTATTGAATATTATCAGTAGATGTATATAGATTCAGTATTCCCAGATTGACTAAAAAGGAGAGATGGTTCCCCCATGCTCTACTTCACGCTTTCATCATTCTGAGCATTGCTAAAACAGGCTCTCTCCACTACAGCTTCCTGCTTCCACCCAAACCTTCCGGAGTGACACTGCAGAGCAACCCCGGGACACCCTTAGGCCTTTTCCTCAGTGTCTTACTTGTCACTTAATGATGAACTGTTGGCTCTGGCATCTACATAAACACCCTGTGATGATCCAGAGGTCAAACCCTGAGCTAAGACAAACTGGCACAGTTTTAAAATAAGCGTTGGGAAATATGAGTGACCTTCCAAAACACCCATTGATATTTTAATCCTTAGAAACTTCATTTGTAGGTACAAGGTCAGTATTTGCAACAGGCTAGCTAAGTCTGATTATCTGAATATCATCTCTGATAAAGAAATGGTTTGGAGCTCAGCTATGCCTTTAATTTTATATTGTTTGACAGCCACAGTTTATAATTAACTTGTAATTATTAACATTTATTTATCTTGTTTATTAAAAAAAAACCTCTTTAAAAACTGTTTTCTTGTAATATCCTAGAAGAAATGGAGGATTTTTTTCAAATACACAAAACATGGTGCAGCATGAACTCACCTACAAGGCATTTCTTCAGTTAAAACTATGAGATGGTAGAGTTGAGTCACACAAAGCATGAATCATTTATACCTTCATTAAATGGGCCACAAAAATGTAAAGGTTATAACTTGGCAGGTATTCCTACACTTCCCTCAACTGTGCCAAAGGAATTTCCTTTAATTCATTCTTAGGGAAGAGTTTAACTTGTAACAAGAAGACTATAATCAATCCAATCAATTAGTTTCATCCATGTTCCTTATCAGTCATAGCTATGCAAGACAGCTCATTCCTCTCTGCCCTCTGCTAAAGGTCACCATTCCTCAGATCTTCTTCCTGGTGCTTTAAGCACACCTTCTCCATTTCCATCAAAGTATTTTTTCCTGGTTTATTAAATAGATTTTTTTGCTAATCCAGGTTGATTTGACTGAAATGAGTGTGTGTGTGTGTGTGTGTGTGTGTGTGTGTGTGTGTGTGTGTTCGTGTGTGCAGAAACAAAATCTTCCTGTGATTTCCCACCAATAGCTCTGGCTCACATGCACTTTCAATTAACTGAGTTTCTGTAAGTTAATTCACCTTTGCCTTAGCTGTGTTGATCCTGCAAGAAACTTCTGTCTCAAATGGTCTGTCCATGTTTCCTCTTCCTTTCAGCCAAACCCTTCAGGAGGATCAGGGTGTACATTTGCAGTACATGCTTGCTCTTCCTATATTTCTGCCCTCAGAGTGAGCAGCTGTGGATTTTCAAAGGCATTGAAGCAAAACCATCTTCTTGAAAGGCAAGGAAAGCATTTTTCACTTTCACACACTCAAAAAAGCTTGATTGCTTCATTATTGGCTGTAACTTCTCTGTTTCTGTTCCTTATGCAGCCCTGCACACAAGGCTGGTTGTGCTTGGCACTGGTCAAACACGGTGGCCTTTTGCTTTTCTTTTAAGTTGGACACTGGAGAAGCATCCCTGAGCAAAAATCTTTGGTGGCAGTTTGGTCCCTGAAAGTGGGCTCTGCTGCAAAAACATCCCACCTGGAACTCTTTCAGCCTCCTCTTCACCAGGCAGGGCTCAGCACCACACCACCAGACACCTTTACAGCCCTGTGGGGAGCAGAATGAAAACTCCAAATAACCCCAAGGCAACCAAAGGTTTATATATTTCAACAGAACGAGTTCCCTGCCCTGCTGCCTGACAGGGTGTGAGGAGGAAGGCACAAGCCAGCTAAGAGGGAAGGATGGGATTTGCTTTTTCCCCAGAAGCAATAGCACTAAACCCCAGCCTTCTGCAAACCCAAGACAAATTGAAGAGATTTAACTACCATATCCCACATTCTGAAAAGAAAGCAGGTACTGTTCTAGAGGGCATTTTGATTTATTCCTGGTATCTATAACAGGAACAGGAATGCTTAGCATCAGAAACCAGACAGACTGAAATGAAAAATAAGAAACAGGAAAAGAGTGGCAGTGGTTAACTAGTAGAACAAATTATCAGAGGAAATATTGGTTTTCTCATTTCCCAATGTCTTCAGATCTGTCTTTTTTGGAAAAAATATGTACTTTAGTTCAGCATAAATCAGTGGGTTGATGTCAAGAGAAACAGGAAGAAATTGCAAGGCCTGTGAAAGATGGGAGGTCACTCAATGGGGTCTAATGGTCTCTGCCTGTTCTGCAGAGCTGAACTCCAGAACAGGAAATAGAGGATTTCTTTTGCATCCACATGCACACACACCCTGCACCCACAGGGCTCCCACAGGCAGCTGGCATTCAGTCCCACACGGGGAGTTCCCCTGCTGACCACTGCACCCACACTGCTGCTTGTCCAGAGCCACATGCCAGCTCAGGTCACGTGCAAGTCCCAGCCCTTCTGTTTTTCTCATTCCAGGGCATGAAACAAATTCAGGTCCTTCTCCCTTCTGCTCCATTCAAGCAAATGTTGTAGACAAAACAGATCCTGGGTCCTACACACATTATCTGTCTTTATTATCCCGTTATCCCTTTTAGGAAAATACAAGTTTTATGTAGTTTCTCCTATACTTTGACAGTCAGATTAGACAAGGAACCCACAAGTACCTGTCAGTTTTTGGGGCTCCACTTAGATCTCCACACCAAGAATGTTTTGTTCAGCAGAAAAATACTGTCTTTGCCTCTTGTTTCCCACTAGAATCAGCAAGGCGCTTTTACAAAGCAAATCCTAACTCCCACACCCCGCTGATCACTCAGCTGCTGGGACAAGGTAACCAACAGGAAGCACAGCACACAGCAGCAACTTGGAAAAGGTCTGAACAGCCTTCTGATAAACCTGCATTTTGTTTTCTGAATTCCAGCATGCCTAACATCCACATTCCTCTACAGCCCCATGTAGCAATCTTTCCAGATCCAGTTAAGCTTCCATTATACTTGACTGCTATCAGTCTCTTTGGGATCACAGTGTTTTTCAAGATATCTTAGCAAAATACTCTCATCACAAAAATTGGTAGAATTTCATCCACTTCAATTATTTTATACAAATTTAGGCAATAAATCTGAGGTTTTTACCTAGAAAAATCAAATGCCTTCTGCACTAAAGGACAATTGTGTCTCATATCACTCCCATTACCTTTATATCTGCTAGCCCATCTCCCAGAAAGTTTGACATTGGGAAGGGGTTTGTGTTTCCTGAATCTGCACACCTTCTGCCCACCAACACCAGTATTGCCAAGTAAATATGGTCACCATGTCATAGGAAAACAGAGGTCAAGTACTCCTGTAAAGCCACATCACAATTCATCTACCAAGCAGCAAAAAAATACCATTCTTAAATATCTGCCACCTGACTCAGCTCACATGTACTCCCTGGACTGTCCCAGCAGGAGCAACTGAAGCAGGTTGATTTTTACCTAATCCCCCAAGCAAATGCTGGCTTTTTCCTTCCTTATCTTTACACTTTATCAGTGCCCTGAGCAATACCTGCAGACATTCCCTCATTTCCACATACTCCTGCAGTTCTTTCTTCACACTCCATTTATATCAGACTTCTGGGGACAAAACAAGTGATTTTTTTTCCTTTCCTTCTCACCTTGGTGGTTATTACAAGGTAGGAATTAGGCAGGACTCAGCCTGATGAGCTCATTTGGAGATCATCTCTGACAAATGCCTTCCTTCCACACGATTTTCACCTTTGAGGACAGGGGTTTTACTTTATCCACCTTTATCAGTGTACAAACACCTGCAGAGGGCATCAGTTCACGCTGTCCCTGCTGTATACTTGAGGATAGCCCCTGTCTCTCAAAAGGGACCTGAATATTTATCCTCATGCTATTTACAAAACACATAAATTATACATGTTCCTTTTCCGGATTAAGTATAGATGGCCCATTCACTTTAGTCAAAACCAGTGGTTTATACCTCAAATTCTTGTTACAGATGTCACACCATGCTTAAGAGCCCCTTAGCATCCCTACATACCACCAGCCCCTAATGGAAACTGGCTTGAGATGGCCAATGCACCTGGAGCATGGCATTTAATGCAACAATGGGGTAGGACATCTCTAGCTAACCACAGCTGATAATACATTTCAAGTATTAAATAGAAGGTGTTACAATAAAAATATTGAATAGAAGCAAGATGTTACAGTGCTATGCAACTTGCTAGCAGCTGCATGTGATCACTCTCTCAAATGTCCTGTGAGGCACAGGCAGCTTTACAGGGGGTAGCCAGTCTTCAACAACTCTTCCACAGTGGGATTGCAATTCCCCTTCTGCATGCAATTCAGTGGTAGCAGCATGTTTCCCATTCCGGGTCCCTCCTCTTCTTTTTCACTGGGCTCTTATATAGTACTTATTTTTTTGCCACTCATCTGTTTCATTTTTTTTGATGGAATATACTCCCCAGTCAACCTGTTTAAGGTTTTTCTCCCCTCATAGTGCTCATCCAAATTTTCTTCCTTGGTCCAGTATTGCCAACATGGTCCTTGTGCAGATCTTTATTTAAACCTTGCAAGTTTGCCCTGGCAGCAGCAGAGCTTGGGGAAAGCACAACTGAAATGAAGAAAAATCACTGCCTTGGCCATGTAGTGGCTAACCACCGTTCTTCAAAGTTATTTTCATCTCTCCCGGCTCACTGAGTCTGTCAGAAGTTAATCAGCATTTGCAGACCAGGCTGTGCAGTGTGAGAGAGACACTTCT